CCCAAATTGCACTCCACTCAGTTAAATTACCATTATAAACCACTGTCGATTAGTAAAATTACCAATTAGTTCAAGAAATGTTTGTTGTTGATAATGGACTGTAAGGCGCATTTAATAGATCTTTGATGAACAACAAATGTTAGAAAACATAAACTAACTTGTACGTGATCTTTCTCAAGATACTTCACAATATGAGACAGTTTGATCGTTACCAACAAGGAATGGTTCGAGGGTCCATTAAGTTGTCAAAAGGGGGTGGTTATATGAATGGTCGAATTTGTCTTTGAAATGATGAAATGGCACTCTATCCAAAATATCTTAATAATCCATTAAGGAATTTATAAGGAGAATGCCGATATTCTTTGCCTTCAATAACCTGAAGTTTGATATAAGAAAATTCAAACTTACTCATTTCTCTCGTCGAGCAGCACGGCTCGTGGTTCATCGAGCCCGCTCTTGATTAAGAGTTTCCTCTTAGATCCGTCGAGCCGACCAACTTCAATGCTGTTGGTTCCTGTATCAGTCCAATACATATTTCGTCCCTGATGGTCAATAGCTAAGCCTTCGGGACTTTGGACATTACAGCGAAACAGAACCTTTATTGAGGTTGCGTTGAGAAAAGCGCTCATGATACGACCTTGCGAAATGTCCGTCCAGTAAACACGATCCTCAGCGGGATCGTAATCCAAAGCAATGGGGCGCTGATAACCAAGAAGGATGAGCAAAGTTTGAGAGACAAACTGGTTGGCATCTAATGGAATAGTGTTGATGGTTTTGGCGTCAGCGTCAGCAAAGAGAATAAATTTTCTTTTAACCTTTACGACTGCAACTGAGGATGACAAGAAAAAAAGTCGTAAGTCTCCGAAATTGAACAGGGTAACTGAGTCATGGACACCCCATAAGAGCACCAACTACCTCAATCACCTTTCAACCCATATCACTGCTCTGGAAGAAAGAAGTTAAGGAAAGGGAGATCATTGACATCCGTCTAAAGTGGAATAATTACGGAGGAGAGAGTTTCGTCAAAGCATTCAAAAGATCTGTCATTATAGTATATTAAATGTTCCATTTAATTTGTAAATTCTTCTCAACCCTTTCTGAAAGGATCAACGAACGACTTTTTCACGAAATTTCTTGCTACTCTGGTCTTACTGCGTTCGCATGTCTTGCCATCTTGATTCAACTTGAGATCAGAAGGACACACACATTCGCGACCAGATGTTTTTGCTATACAAAAATGGCTACATCCACCATTGTTTATGCCACATGGACTTGAACCTTTCAAAAAACCAAAAATAAACTATGATAAGAAAACCCTACTTTTTAGATTAAACCACATTCCCGGAAGACGTCACAATACAGTTATACTAATAATTCGATCCAAGTACTCGCGACACAAAACCTTTACTGAAAAAAGCTCTCTGCAAAGACACAACTCTAGCTAAGGAGCCATTGACTAGAGATGTTCCGTAATGTAAGAAGTTTTACAAGATTCATTATCTACGACTTTTTAGATGTTTTCATCGATGCTGTTTTTGATTCTCCACTTTCTGGGATCATAGAAAAAAAAAAGTTAATCACGTAAAACAGCTTTTTCTGTGGTATCAGTTATCCCACAGGTAACCTTAAACTTTTCATCACTTTATAAATGAATCTCCATTCTAAAGTAGTAGTCTCATCAACCTAGAAAAGAAATACTAATATTTCTGCATTGGGTCCATTATCACTCTCTAATTTAAAATATAGGTATGGCCTTTCCGGGAGGCCGTAGTCTCAGTGTTATTTTGTACCTTTGATGGCCCTTGCACATAAACAAACTAAATCTTGCACAATCTTAGACATCTAGACATCTTTTACATACCTGATGGTTGCCGTGAGCTATCGTATGTTACAATGCCCATTGGTTTCCCGCCATTAGTGCTGTAACTGGCCAAAACTTTTCCGGTTGTAGCATCAACTTTGTGACCTTGATAGGAGTTCCAATCCGTGAAAAACAAAAACGGTGGATACAGGGCCACTCCAAATGGGTGTAAACCGATTCCCCGCAAAAGTAACTTTCTGTTGCTACCATTATAATCGACTGATTCCACTCTATCCAATCTGGCGTCCGCCCAAAAGATGCGTTTGTTTCCCCTATCAAGGTCAATGCCATTCGGCCAGACGAGATTCGTACTTATGATGGTAAGTCTTTGATTTCCACTTAGGGTGGCTCTTTCAATTTTTGGATAAGCTCCCCAGTCAGTCCAGAACATAAAGCTGTTTCAAAGATAAAAACGATTGTTTGCATTGTCTTATACTTCACTATCACTCTCTAAAAGAGGTTTATCAGTTACATGTACCACATTAAAAAATTATGGACTAAAAATAGATTTAAATTCATTTAAGTGAAATAATGCGGAGAAACCATTTACTGAAAGTAAAAGGCAAAAGTTATTGACCAATTTTGTTTTTAATTACCATGATCAGGTATCAGTTTCTCTTTCAGAACTAAAAAAATAGAGTTTTCTTATTTTCCATTTGTTTTTTCGAACTACTGACACAATTGGGACAACAATAATACCACCGTTGTGATTAAAGTAAAGAAAATAGAGAAAGACTAAAACTAAGCACGCCCTGTTATTTACAGTACTGAAAGTAACGTGTTGGATAATAAATCTCTTATTGAACGTTTTCTTGTGTAGTGTCGCTGAGTATGTTAACGAGTTTTGCCGTTTTTTTGACGAGCCTGAAGGGTGAGACAAACAACGATTTAAAATACTCAGCGATACCACGCAACAAAACGTTTAATGAGACTGATATAGTTATTAGGTAAGCAAAGAACGACAGCAAACACGTTTTCGTTATCAGGAGTGTCCGTATTGTTTAAAGATCAGTCATCACACTACGTGGTTCATTCATGGCGAGGTAATCCTTAAGTCCAACACAATCCGATAAATATATGCAGTCTGATGATGTAATGAACTGCAAAGTCTTATTCTATCAATTTATACAGGCAGCCTCGAAGTTTTTGTCAAAACAATTATGTGCAAACACCTCAAAACTGATATTTTTTTTTCTACCACGATGGTTTTATTCAGCATTTTTCATGCTTATTACAGCTATTTTTCTTACTTTTCCATAGAATAGGAATGTTGGTCAAAGGTTTGGAACAAAATAAAAGGGAACGACTATTGATAGTGAAAAAAAATTATATAAATTTCATATTTTCTAAAGATATCTCAGTCTGCACACACTCCTCTGAATTAAACCCAGTTACATTAATTATTTCATAACCAATTCCCATCAGTCGTCAAGACAGTTTGTTTCTACAAATTGGAATTAAAAGCCTCATGCTTCCGTTACTTGTGGTGTTGTGTATTGCAACAATTTTGTCCTTCAAGTCTTTACTTCTTTGAAATTCTAAGCCCCCCTGGGAGTCTTTACATAGCAAAATAAGATTTAAAAAGCAAAAACAAAAAATTTGGTTCTCAATTTCAGCCAAAATGTTTATGTAAAGGTAGAGTGGATTGAAAGGCTTGCCTCAATCATGTTTTACTGAAGCAATTAAAAGCAAAATAGCTAAGACCCTGTATTCGCAGTAAAAGAGTTGATTGAAGGTTGAGGTTACACAATTTTAAGCTAATAAAGGCACTCAGGTGCAAAAGTGGTGCATGCATTAAACAGCCCTTCTCGAGATCTCTGACAATCCCATAAAAATAAATTATGGCCTAGCCCGCGTTTTGTTTAATTAACATATTTCAGTTTTGTTTCTCACGAAAAATATATACCAAGAAGTCTGAATTTAACTAGGGAATTTCAGCAGTTAAACGGTCTGCCTGACTTGGCCTCCCAGTTACTTATGTTTAAATAAGGCTTTAGTAGACGCAAACAAGTAGTTGAAAATTTTTTACAGTTTAAGTGCAAATCTTTATAATCACAACTATCTTTGTATGTACCACATATTGGCAATTGTTAAATGAGAGCCCTTAAATATCAAAGCTATTTTATTGATACTTATCAGTATTTAACTAACTTCTTCAATTCTGCAAGCCAGCTGTGATTGCAAATACAGATGTGAAATGCATGCCAAACGTGTAAATACACTGTTTAAAACATGAACAAATGGCCAATCAAAAATGTTTAAAAGTCTCCAAGTTGATTTAAAGGGCTGAGCCTAAAAGCAAAACAATGAAATAAAATAGTTAAGTAAGCATTCTCCTTTCAGCTGTACACAGAATAACACACTTATCTGATACATAGACTGTGACAGGCTGCTTACTTCCCATCAAGGTCCAGAGCTATATCTCTAGGTTCATCAAGGCTAGAGGAAATAAGAGTACGTTGATTGTAGCCACTCAGGTCTGAAATTGATATTTTATTGTAGGTTGTGTCTGACCAGTATAATTTAGAGGTCTTCCAGTTCACAGCCAATCCATCACAAACTCCAATATTGGTTATAATTGTTGTGATACTTCCACTGTCAATGCGGAACCGCTTTATGTTTTTCTCTGTAACATCACTCCAGAATATATAGCCCAAGTTGAAATGAATCTCTAAGGCAACAGATCTTGTTAAGCCAGAAATGATGGATCGAACGCCAGAAGTTTGATGGTCGATGGCAAGGATATCAGAAGTGTCTGCCATTAACAAGCACGGAGGATTGCATATGGTGACTATATAAATAGAAAAAAAAACAGCATTGAAGTTCTTTCATTCAGCTTTTTTGAAATCTGATACAAAGCAAGCAAGAAAGGAGTAAAGAAACAAGCAGTAAATGAATAAACAATGAATGTAAAAATAACTGCATAAGTGAATAAAAATATGGATCAATTTTTCCCAAGGCAAATTCGATTCATAGATTTTGGCAGAAATTTACTGAGAATCATCACAAAATGCATGTAAAAATAATGTTAGAAACAAGTTAATAATGATAATAACAATAATAATACTAATAATGATGGTAATTTTGTCATCATTTGTACATGTTCATTCTTTTTAGTTATCATCACACCATTCTTGAACATCATGATTATTATCGCCAGAAAGTTCTCCCTGGGTTCAAGCCAATTACATTCTAATTGGCCATGACAACCTCAACCATCCCTTGGCCCTTAAAAAGCAGTATAAGTTAAAGGTCTAATTGCGATGGTCAGTGCCTCATTTTCTTCAAGTACAAGATATTCCACAAGGTGAACGTGAAATCTTTGGTAATTCTTGCATTTCTTGGTTAGCATTGTTATGATAATCATCTTCATTGTTAATATGATTACATGTATCATTTTTACTTGTGTAACTACACTCTACAAGTATACAGTATTATCATAATTATCATTGTAATATCAATGATATAATAATTATTATAATAATAACTACAGTATTACGATCATTATTGTGACTATCACTATGCTATTATGAAATGTCATGGCTATAGTGGATAGCCCTTTCAGAGGAATGGTGGATTGCAAGGTTATACATTCACATTTATTGAGACATATGATAAGACTCTGAAGAGAGTTACAGGGTATCATGGTGTGACTAGACTGAAGAATAGGCAAGTACATAAGATGAGATTAAGAAGAAAAAACAGAACATGTATATGCCCAGGGTGTGGGGAGTTTGAACCTTGCTTGGCTGAAATGGGGAATTTTTCTAGTAGAACACAAGTGTTATATCTTTATGTAAGGAGGTGTTTACAAGTGAACAGGTCATTTTCAGAAGCAAATGGCTCAGAAGACAAGGTCTGCAATGTCTAGCTTTTAACTCTTGGTCAATATGTAGAAAGTCACAATCGCTGATTTTGTGTTTTACAAGACAATTGACCATCAGATCTGGGGCAGGGAATTTTAACAAAGCAATCTTCAAAAGTCACATGCCAAAGATGTCCAGAGTTGGGGGGAGGGAGATACACGATGAAGCTTCAATTGACTCATTTCACAGTAGTCTTAGATGTCAGTTATCTCCTTACCCAAATCCTGAAAAGGGCACCTAGGCAAGATCATGCTTGAAATTTGGGGTGCAGCTTATGTATGAGTGCAGCTAATACACAAGTTTTTACGGTAACTTAATTTTAAACAATGTGTCAAGCTTTGCTGTGCCATCGGATGAGGCATGAAATGGTCACAGTAATATTTGATCAAGGTACTGAGGTAATATTGCAAGCCCTCCAATGACATGTGTTCTCTTGTTTGCATCTGATATACGGTTTTTTTCATAGATAAAAATGCACACTCAGACCAAAATGGTCCCTTCACCTTTATAAACTTGATCTACTTGATACTTGATCTGATGCAGTATAAAGCCGTTACGTAGTTATCAAATTATCAGTAAGTGGATGATGGAAGTCATGTTTAGATGAGCTATTACAAAGTTAAAATATGTCGATTAATTATCATTCTTAATATCGATTTCAGAAAAAAATGGCTTTGATCTTAAGTCTGTGTTTTGTACCAAATTTGCAACCAGTAGTCACCCCTGGCCAGGTTTAAGTAGCAATCACCACTATAAAGTAACAGATCGCAAATTCAGAAATAAAGTGCTAGTGTACCTTTAACACAGTCTCTTCAATTTTCGTGCCAGTGAGTGCCAATCATATTTTTAGAAATGTGCGCGTGTACTGTAGCACTTCACGTATGACAGCTATAACCGAAGCGAGCGGCGAACGAAAACTATTAGTCCAGTGATAGATACTCCCCTGGAAGACGAAACCTTTTGCGTGCGAACACTAGTTCAGAGAAATCAAGTGAAAGCTCTATTTCTGAGGTTTGGACATCGAAGTGAAAGCCATGTTTCCATACTTGTTTACTGACTGTGTGAATGAACATAACTAATTCCTTTTCGTTTCACCAACATTTGCCGCTGCTTCGTGAGGGGCAGACGTCCAGGCCCATTTCCCGAGGAAACATCCGTCCAATCCCATGAGTTTTGCTTAAATATATCCTAAATGTTTTCACCTTTCCACATTAATTGTTTTATGTCAGAGGCCAAATGGTGATAATGAACATGCGCTTCAGAATTCTGGGTCTGACATGAAAGCTAGTGCGTTACTGAATGGAGCTGAAAGGGTAGCGTAAACGTGTTCGAAAATTTTTCAGTTATTGCCATCAAATACAGTGGGGAAAGGACCCTGAGTTCCAAGCCCTAGTCTAAACTAGATGTGAAAAAGAAAGCAATCCCTGAAATTCGAGGAAGTTTTGAAAAATTCTATATTTAGCCCGGATTTAAACAACATAGAGTTGAGTGACTTTAGTCTACGCAGAAACAGCAGTAGACCTTTGCAGGCCAAATTTTTAAAAACATTGTTCTGTTCATGTCAAAGTAAGTATTATTATTTTTTTAACTATAGTTTCCAGGAAAAATTTTGGTAAAATATTGAAACGTACGTGCATTGTATACAGAACATATTCTCGAACGGAATTCTTTAGCCCGCCGAAAGTATGGATAGGCCATTTGTTGCGGCAAAACATCCTAGTCCTTGAATTCCAATCGCGTAAACATCTCCTGATTTCAGTTGCAAGTGAAGATCTCTACTATCTCTCTACATTTAAATCTAGAACGTGCATGGAGAAAGATAAAAAAGAGAAGAGTCCATAGGTAAAGGTGAAAGTAAAGCCTGGCTGTCAGCACAGGAAGTAAAGAAATTCGACGCGGTATGGCGAAAGAATATCACCGAAACACATTTGTAACCGTTGGATGGTTACTTGCAACATATTTTCGCTGATAATCTCCTTGCTTCTGTCAGTCATATTGGCGGTCGGCATTTTGAGTTTTTCACAGTATTGACATAACTTGACATATGGTCACCCAAAGGCGTGAAATGTTGGGAGATTTTAAAAGCGAAAGAAAGACCAACTTCGTTTTTGCGCAAATTCGCCTTCTTTGAACAAATTAATAGGGTATGTTAACTTTACGGTTTGCCTTGAGATTTGGTCCAAAGACTCCCGAGATACCAACCTTACTATTATCATCGCGATAGCTATGGTTTTTAAGGCCTAGTCCTTTTAGTTCATTTGTATTCGTTTTCAATGCTTAATTTTTTTTTCCATCCAGATGTTTGACGTATCCTGAGATTTTAACCAGAAGCGAAGGAACTAGGAACCAAACGGTTTTCATGCAATACGTCCAATACGTGTCTGCTTTTTTTTCGCTTGAGCAATGTGATACTAATACAGGATTTAGGGCTTCTTTAAATCGAAATCCTTTGATGTCTCCCTTTGATGGCTGGATTTTTGCTCCAGTTAGTTTTGTTAATGAGCCACACCAAAAGTACCCCGCTGAGCTATGACAAAAGGTCACTTAAATGATGACCCAAGACTATGTGATCAAAAGAAGTATCTATTACTCTATCTTTAGGTTTGAATCCTTTTTTTTGTAAGGTTTCCAAAGGGAATCAATAAGGACTCAGTATAGGCAATTGAATGTAGATCCGCTCACTGTGATGTTATAAAATCGAGAGACGCATCTGTGTTTTGTTCCATCAAAACCCAGAAGATCTAGAAGCTCAGTTGTAGGAATTTCAAGAGAGACACTTCCTGAGGAATGTATATTATCTCAATAACCTTAGACAGATATCTATGATAATTATCAACAAGTTGATATAGGAAATTAAATTCATCGAAAGCCGCAAATTAAATCCAGAATAATATAATGAATAAGATAAATGAACATGCACGCAAATACCGAGATAGATTGAGTGACTCTATGTTTTGAGGGAGTGTGCGCTACGTTATCAAGCGTTTGTCCATAAATTGTAATAATAAACGGTACAGTATGCGAACAAAAGCACAGAACACCAGGAGTAACAAGAAACACGACTGAAAATTAGTAAAGCATACAAACGTATACTTGAAAGCATCACTGGTGACATGACCGGCGTAGCTGTAGTGTGGTGAGACAGGAATGCAAAATATCACTACCGAGTTATTTCAAAGCGAATAAGTTCGAGCCTTCATAGAGCTTGGCTTCTAGGGAGTTAATTGAATTCACCGAATCAGGCTATCGCGGTGGTTAGTTGTAATGTACCTGCATAGACGCCTGTCCTCTTGTTGTTTGTTATGGTCAACACAGACAGGGTAAAAATCCACCATACTAAGCTCATGGTTGCCTCAACTTATACTGCAAGTTATAATCTATAGAAGTAATAAAACAATGAAATTTACTTTACTAAGCGATGAAAATGTGCCCTTCCCCCTTCCCACGAAAAAGTCTGTTAAGGAATTCGAATTCAAAAGCTACAAGCAAAGGGTTGATTAATGATACTAAATTTTCCACGGTACACAGAACATGAACGCAGATTTATGTTCTAACAAACTCCTTTATTTTCTTCTTTCCTCCGCCGAAGTCTCTACCAGAGCTAAAATCTCATTCTGCCCAATCCAGAGTTGGAATCGATAAATATGGACTATGCTTGTAGATTCTCGAAATAAAGTCTACCTTAGCTTTGTGCATCTATGGATGAAAACGGGCATACCTTAGGATGACTTTTCAGATGTTTTACGTGGTTATAATGGAGGCCATTTTTCCTGAGCGTATATCAAAGCAAAACGCCGTAGGGGATATTTGAGGTAACTAAGCCTGTAAAAGCAATTTGATCACTTTTGTGTGTGTGTGTTTTTTTTTTGTGTCCCAGTTTCAGCAATGCGTACCAGGAGTAGGTTTACTCTAAAAAAACAAAATCAATAAACAGAAAAAACAACAGCTTCCATAGTAACGCCCTCATGTACTTAGTATTGAGGCTGATGTATCAGTTGCATTCAGTTGCATTTATTATCAGTGTGTACAGCTTCTCCGAAGTAATTGTTTGTTGAACGCGGGTACTTTGCGTAGAATCAATTCTTTTCATCAAGGATTACATTTTCATTTCTCCAAGCCTGCTCAGTCCTCAAGTAGCGATTTCAACGTCACTGAGTAAATCGAAGTCGCGGAAAAGAGTCAACAAACGCAATTCTTGATTCGTCTGCAAAGTTCATAGGGACCTACGTTGCATTTGGAAGGTGAGAGCATACATCTTTCACGATTTCCCTACTTAAAACTTAGATAGGTGCTTGATCCGCCAAAATGCATAATAGGTCTCACCTTGCTTAGTCATCCACTACCTACAAGATTGGTTAAAGTCGTAACAATGGGAAAACCATGACAAAGGAGAGTTTTTGCCTCGAAATTTAGTGGCTAACTCGTATGAATATTCCGTGTATTACACCATAGAAAAAAATTTAAGAAAGCTGTTAAGAAGCTTTCGATTAAGGCTCTAGCTAGAGGTTTATTCCCTTTATTTCCGTGTAAAAAAGCGCAAAATCCTTCAGATGGAGCCGAAGCGTGCTAAATAAACATGGTTGTATGCGTTCAAATGCTCCGTTTTCGATGACCTAACATATAATATTCGTGGGTATCTTGCGAGTTGTGTAGGACTCCGAAATCACATTTGCGGTGAGACAGTTTGCATCCTACGTAACGTATCGGTTGCATAAGGACTGTGCTTTAACGGTAAAAAACACGAACGAGACCATTAGCGTCCTTTATGACCAAACACTGTCGCGCCTGAGAGTTTCTTGAAAGTAAACTGTAAGCTTAGGAAAAACGAAAAATAAAATCAAAGCTTATCTCGTTTAGTGCAGCCAATTTGTTGCTCCGTAATTTTGCTTTGTTCTAAAGCATGCAGAGAATTTTGGCATATTTTGCGCCTTCTCATGACCTTCAGATACAATGAANCCTGTACGGGATTCGAACCACTGACCTCTGCGATACTAGTGCAGCGCTCTACCAATTGAGCTAACAAGCCAACTGGGAGCAGGCCGTTAAGTTGATTCGTAATAAACCCGAATTTCTCATGACCTTATTCGGTAAAATATTAGTAAAATAATGATTGCTGATCGAAAATACCAGAAGAGCCCTGAGGCGAATATCATCAATTGATGTTATCAAGCTTATCGATGATATGATTTCATTGCTTTTTTTATTCATTCTGATAAAGCACTGGTGTTTCTCGAGAAAACCTCATCTTTTAAGTAGTCATCCGTTATATCTTGAGGTAATAAGCCATTTTACGAGTGGTTCATTCTGCCTCGGTTTTTATCAGACATTCTGGTGAAAAGTATGCCGAAGACATGTAAAGAAATGCGATCTTAGATGAATAGCTCTTGGACCCTTGACTGCTTCAGCTGTTGCACGCGACTAATGCGTGATAATCAGGTGGGATGATTGCGTGCCACAATTGTGATGGCTATCATACGAAAGTATCTTTGTCATTGCAGTAACTATTTTCTCCTTTTGGATCTCAAGGAAAAGAAAAAGAAATATAATTACCACCAAAATTGCGATTAGATCACTCATATTTCAAAGCAATCCGACATTCATGGTTCAGTTTTAAAATTTGACGAATGTAACCGGGAAAATTACAAATAATTGACCCAACGTTTCGACTTTCCCGTCTATTGCCTTCATCAGGGGTTATCTATTCGTTGCAACAAGATGTCCTTTTATACACTCACTAATTAGCTGCACTTTTTTTCTGACAAGGTGCAAACAGGCGTCAGGTAGTAAGCCGCCATCATCACCATTGAAAGGAGCGTGTGCGGGATTGATATGCCAAGCTTCCAAACAAAGGCGCTGGTGGTAGCGGCGATCTGTAGCGATCAGTTGTGATAATTTTAAAATTATTCCACCCAATGGTATGGTTAGTTAGGCATGCGTGCTCGGACAAAGTTGAACTTTCTTTTTTGCAAAAACAAGACAGCATTCTGATGCTCTTTTAAACGGGTACCAAACTGAAGTTTAGTCTGTCCGATATACTCGTGATCACAGTCATTGCACGGTTCATTGTTCCTTCCTAACAGGACCCCAGGTTTTGACAAAAATATACCCCAAGGTCTGAAAAGGTTATTTAGCAACTTTAACGTTGTGGCTATGCAAAATTATGATGAAGGGCTCCGTAACACCCTGGATGTAAGGAATAACAGCACAACCAGTCGCTGGTTCATTTTCACCAGGAGTGTTACCAATTGTAACTGGCTGTTGGCAGTTAGTGAGAAATGTTTTGATGTAAGCATTGACCTTTAGAAAGTCGGAGGCATATTTCTCTCCTCAACCTTGGAATAAATGATTATTAATATTGCAGTTCCTACCTTACCTCGCATTCCAGTAATTAAAAGCTTATTTATCTTACCTTTTTTTTTTTTTGCTAGGTATTTTTAAGGGTTTATTCCCTTATTTGCAATACGAATGATTACGGTACATGGGAAAAAAAAATCCCAGACGATACTATTGCAGTGTTCTTTATGACGGACCAAAAATAATGTGGCACTTTAGAGTTCGTTTCTTTCCGCATTAATTTCTTTATATCAGAGGCCAAATGGTGGTAGTGAACATGCTCTTCAGAATTCAGAATTCAGAATTCTAGGGCTGACACGACAGCTAGTGCGTTACTGAACAAACACAGAGGGGAAAGGATCCGGAGTTCGTAGCCCTAATAAATTATATATGAAAAAGGAAGCAATCCCTGAAATACGAGAAAGTTTCGAAAAACTCGAAATTCAGCTAGGACTTGAAAAGCATAGAACTGCATGACTTTAGTCTAAGCAGAAACAGCAGTAGACCCTCGCGGTCCAATTTTTTAAATTTTTTTTCCTGTTCATGTCAAAGTAAGTGCTATTATTTTAACTATAGTTTCCAGGGAAAGCTTTGGTGAAATATTGAAACGGAAGTGACTTATATACAAAACATATTCTCGACCTGAATTCTTTTGCCAGCTAAAGTATGAATAGGCAAGAACAGTATGTTAACATAAGTGACTCCCTAAGAGTTTGTTTCTGCAAAACTTCCTTGTTTTTGAATTCAAATCGAGTAAATATCTCCTGATTGATTTCACTTGCAAGTGGAGATATTTTTATTTATTATGTATTTACTTATTTACAATATTTGCCGAG